TGAGCCGAAGGCAGAGGCTTTAACCCACTGAGCCACCCAGGCACCCCTCCTCAACGCATTTTAACACATTTTTTAAGACACCACTAACATATTAGTAAATATATACATGTATATTTATCTAAAAGATGGACAGTAAAGGTACAAAAAATGTTCACAGCATGGCTACTATTAGTTTTGTGGGTCACAAAAGGGTGATACAGGGAATTCCAGATGCATCTAAATCTATGCCTGATGGACAGAGATCAAAGTCTTTATAATAGTAAAATAAAAAAAGAAATGCACCCCAAACAGTATTACTTGGACAGGTTGCAATTATTTTTTTTTACCCCATAAAAAGCTTTCTTCACTCAGCCCACACCCAGAACCCCATAAGGCACATTATTTAAATAAGTTACACAGAGCTGTAACTTACATAACTGTAAAAACTGCTTTTCTACTCTTAAAAAAATTGTTCAAACTCTGGTTATATTCATTTCCAGCAGGGAATTTCACTTCTTTCTTTTAATCAAAAAGGAAAAAGTTTAAAAGAAAAAAATAATCATTTACAAAGGGAAAACAAGTACAAAATCCTAAAAACATCACTCAAAACTAGTAGTAGTAGCCATGCTATAAACTTTTTTGTACCTCTACTGTCATCTTTTAGATAAAATATATTACACATCTTACAAATTTAATAGTATGAAATGTTCTAAAGAGTTTTGTCGATAGCAGTGGTTCTCAACATTTGGCAAAGTCTGGAGACATTTTTAGTTGATACAACTGGCAGGGAGAGAGAGTAAGGAGGTAGGGAGGAGGGTTAGCTGTGCTACTGGCAACTAGTGATAGAAGCCAGGGATACTACTAAACATTCTACAATGCAGAGAAGAGCCACTCACAGCAAAGAATTCATTATCTGCCTAAAATGTCAACAGTGCTAAGGCTGAGAAACTATGGTCTACAGAAATCAACAGTTTACTTCTAAAGATTTGCCAACCAGTTCTATAGATCAAACTAGATCAAATACATTAAATTCAAAATGACAATAAATACAAAATCCACTTAAGCACTTAAAAGAAAACTACAGAAGTAGTTTTCATGAATTCAATTTGTAATGCCATAAATTTAAGTATTCCCTACTGTAATCTTAGAAAATGTCAGCGAAGTACAATTACAATATGAAAAACTAGATAACATACAACAAACAAACAAGAGTATGTACACTGACTTAAGGGCATTTTACTTCATTGAGCTTCAAATTTAAAAGTATTTTGCAGAGGCGTCTGGGTGGTTCAGTCTTTTAGGTGTCCGACTCTTAGTTTCAGCTCAAGTCTTGACCTCAGGGTCTTGAGATGGAGCCTTATGTGGGCTCTGAGTTCAGTGGGGTGTATGCTTGAGATTCTCTCTCTCACTCTTTTGCCCCTCCCCCAGCCTGGGTGCTTTAAAATAAAAATTTTTTCAAGTATTTTTCATATTGACTTGCAGCTAAATCTTTAAGTAACTTACAGGTAACACTTAATTTTTTATTTTAAGGTTTTATTTATTTGTCAGAGGGAGAGAGAAAGCACAAGCAGGGGGAGCAGCAGGCAAGGGGAGCAGCAGGCCTCTCACTGAGCAAGGAGCCCCATGGGGAACTCAATCCCAGGACCCTGAAATCATGACCCGAGCTGAAGGCAGATGCTTAACCAACTGAGCCACCCAGGTGTCCCTTATTTTAATGTTTAAACTATTAAATTAGGTTATGTTTAAATCCTGTAACCCGTAATACAAACCAGTCTCAGTTATTTTTAAATAATTAAAGAATGCCTATCCTTGGAAAGTAATGACAGTGTGGTACAATATAAACACAAGCGGACCTAGACCCAAATCCTAAAGCTATGTTTGTAGACAAATAATTTAACTTCTCTGAATCTCAATTTCCTCATCTAAGATATAGGAAATCTAATTCAAAGAATTGTTCTTGGAAATTAGCAATAATGCATAAACAAATGGTACTGACAGCCACTCTACAAATGGTGGTTAGTTTTTAACAGCAATAATAATAAATCTGTGAATACAGATTATAGTTTTATTATAGCCTCAAAATCTACATTTCACTTAGTAATTGCACTCATAAAATAACTATAACATGTATTTTAACCAATTTTCCATTCCTGGCAATTTGAAATATTCCTTAAAATTCACACATATTTAAAATTAATGTCTGACACATAAAGGATGGATTTCCAAACAGCCTCAAGGAAAAAAGGCCTAGATGCCTTTATTACTTTAAGTAACATATTTCTATGACTCAAAACTCAAAAGGGATCCTTTGATGCCTATTACCTCAGACAAATTCGCTTATACAGAAATAATCAATTTTACCAATTTCTCATTGAGACAAATACACATATTTCTCCCTTCTTCCAACACAAATGCTGACCTCCTCCACACTATTCTGCACCTTGATTTTCACATTTGATTTATCTTGGAGACTATATTTTAATTAACACACTTTAAGAATGGCCACTTATAACTTCTTATGGTCAGAATTCAGCAAATGTCAGCTATCTTTATAAGACAACTTAAAATGCCAAAAAAAAAAAAAGTACTTTAATCAACCAGTAAACAAGAGCATATGAAACTTCGGTAAACGTGAAGAGTTACATAGATGAAGTGATGAAATACTTGGTTACATGACCAGACACTCAAAATACTACATTTCCACACTTAAAAAGGAAACACGTGGACTGTACTACAAGTCCTTCAGTGAGCTGAAAGTAATCAACATAACCCACTTATAGAACTGGGCCTACTAAATTATTGATGAAATGAAACACTGGTGAAAATAAAGTCATTTATTGGTTAAAATAGAAGATTAAATTATTTGACCCTTTTCTAAATATACTTTGCAACTTATTTTCTCGAAGAAGTTTCCTTCCAGATTTATAAAGCTACTCTTCTTAAAAAAAATAATTTTTTTGCATTTCCTATTCTCTTCCTCTGAAATACTATAATGCTTACTGGAAGCAAGGCTCAGCATCCCTTACATATAAAGAGCAGTATTGCTTTAACAATATGCACACTAGGGCGATACTAGATTTCTTTTAAGCTTTAACTGAAATACTAAAAATATCATGGTGAAAGTCACCTCATATACAAAGCAAAGAGACCATATGGATCACGAGAGCAGTAACTTACCATTTTTAAGTATTAGAAAATAAAGCATTTGAAAGAAGTCTTATATTAAGTCTCAGGTTTGTGCAACTTTATTATAGAAGAAATGTTTTAGGCTATTGGCAACTGTATTAACTGAATCTTTCATTAGGAATATATATGTCAACTATACTCAAATATATTTTCTTGCAAATAAAAAGTAAGAATCATTGTTTCACTCTATATCAGTACAGACATTTATGACCCTATTTCTGCACTGTACCACAAAAATACAAAGTCATCCTTCCATTCAGAGTTTTGGCACTAGAACAAATACAGAGGTCAGAGTTCATACACATGCTCAGATCATTTCTTACAGACTACTACGTTCAATAAATCTACTGGTATTTGTTATTTTTAAGTTAATTTTAAAGAATTATATTCAACATGTCGAATTGGAAAAATAATCACTGTAGAGTCAGTATCACAAATAAAGCTCACTTATATCTATTACTTATCACACACTCAGAATGCTAAATTGCACAAATCATTTATCGAAGTTCCAACATTAAGAGAAAAATACAAATAGTAATGATGCATTATTAAAATGATATGTGACATCTTGAAAATAATAAGTATTTCAGTATTACTTTTTCATCTCTTTGTTAAATCCAAGGAGGAAAAAAACTTTGCATTCTTGTTGATTTGGGTATGAAAAATTGTACTTATACTTGCATGGTTTTGAGTCAAATCACAAGGATATTTTGACTATATTATATAAATAAATATGACCAACATCAGAGTAAATTCTGCAAGACTCAAGAGCAGCTTGAGACAAAAAAATATATTTTTAATAATTTCAGGTAAGATACACTGGAACAAACCTACTAAATAAGGAGGTATAATAATGTATTGATCTGATGAAATCCTATGTTTTTAATAGGGCTGTTTTTCAAAAGTAAGAATCAAGTTAACTCTGAGGGACATCATAATGAAGTTTCATGGCACAATACAACAGTCACAGAGGCACTGCTTTGGAGAGACTCTCTGATCTGTAACTTGTAAACAATATTTTGAAATAAGCTACTCATACCCTCCATTATTTTTTCCTAATGAATAATATTTAAGTGCCTTTAATACACCAAACAACTTGCCTTCACCCAATCAAAAAGCTTCAGATGTCAACAGAAAAGAGGCCTAGAAATTGGGGACTTGGGGGACGGGGGAAATGAGGTAATTATCTAATCTGGAATCAATTTCCTACCTCAGATGAAAATTCTCTTATCTCCCACTCAAATAAAAGAGTATCCCATTATGTCTCCTCTTCTCTCCCAACACCGAACTAAGGAGGGAGTAACTCTGAACGTCCTTCTTTCATCAAAACCTAAGGCCTTTCACCGCTCCTTCCCAAAGGAAAGGACGGTGGAGGCCAAACAGGCCATAATGTAGAATACCCTTAAAAGTGTGGGCCTTTGAGCAGCGCAGCTCTCCGGATCCAGTTACCACCTTTCCCCTTCCCCCAACCCACTTCCCGGGTTTTCTCAGGCTCGGCCTGCTCCCTCCACACCCTACAGCCAGACTTCCAGCTGTTGCCACTGCCTCGGGGCTCTCTCTAGAGCTCATACCACCCCCCAAGAAATGCCCCCCTCTCCATCTGCCCCCCAAACCGTGTTCCTCTCCAGACCACCCGCCCGCGAGGCGGTCCATCCCAGGGCCCAGGGAGGGGAGGAGAAGGCGACGGAAGCAGAGGGAGACTGCTGCTCTCCCACAGGCAGAAGGGCGACCGCAAGGAGGGCCACCCAGGGGTTACCGGGGATACTGGGGTCGCCGCTGGAAGAACCCTCCCGCCCTGGGCTGGGGTGGGGGATGTCCGGGAGTTCATTTCTGACCTCCTCGCTCTTCAGCACCTCCTTGAACTCCCGCTTGATTCGCTGCACCGCGATGTTGGCCATGTCTCCGCCCGCAGCTGATTCGTACCCGCCTCCTCCGCCACCGCTACGACCACCGCCACCGCCGCCACCTCTTCCACCACCGCCTCCTCCCTCGGCGATTCACACCCGAGCACACGAATGCTGCCACTGCCACCCCGGCCGCCGCGCTCTCCTCAGTGTGGAATCACCTCCGCGCCCGGCCACCAAAATGGCGCCGGGTCCGCGCATGCGCAAGACGGTGACCCGGCCGGGCGGCGCAGCCGCTCCCGTTGTAGCCCCATACGCCTCAAACGCGAGCCCGCGCCGCGCCGCGCCGCGCGTCTCAGCCGGAGCTGCGGCCGCGCGGCTCCGCCCTGCCGCCGTCTGGGGCCAGGAGGGTGCGGCTTCCGCGCTGGCCAACGCTGCCGGGGCCTCCCAAGTCCTCTCTTGTGCCTCCGCCTCTCTTCAAAATCACTGTGGTGTGGTCGGGGCTTCCAGCCATGGCCTCTGACTGAAGGCTGAGCCCAACATAACGGGTTCACGTGGCCCCCTCGGCTACCAGCGCCTGTGAGCGCCGTCCTGACTCAGCCAGACCCAGAGCCCACAGGCTTAATGTGCCTGACTGTGTCTAGTGTATAAAAACATCATTCCAGAACTCGATCCGGCCCATTTTCTGTTGGTGTAGCCCAGAAAAATCCACTGCAGTCCGTTTTTGTTCTGAAGCCATTAGAGTGCCACTGCTAATACTATCATTCCAGGTACTACACGTCACTGAATTAAGAGTGGTCATTGTTGGGTCCCATCCCGTGTATCTGAAACAGGTACTCCATGTAGATGCCTGAGGTGGATTTAGAAGCCAGATGTTGATCTTTGAGCTACTTAGATAATTAATACCGAGTTTTAATAGTGTTTAACCTCCAGTGTACATCAGAATCCCTGAAGAGCTTGTTTAAAAAAAACAAAAAACAAAACACGTTGCTAGACCCCCATCCCTAGAGTGTGGGGTGGGTCTAATAATTTTCTTCTCTAACAAGTTCTCAGATGCTGCTGCTCTTGCTGCTACACTATGAGAACCACTAAACTAAAACATGTGAAAATAGTTTAAAGTAAAATATTAAAGTGAAAAAATGAAGAAGTAGAGGCTTCTTGCGGAGGAACGATAGCTTTACTTCTGTAGGCCCAGGGCCTACAACAGTGTCTGGCACTGGTGGGCCCTCAGTAAATTTTAAATGAACAAATGAAGATAAGAGTAAAATGTTTTAGGTGGAAAGTAAGTTTGAAAGGCAATTTGAAAGTCGTTGCTAGGGTTTCAGTAAGTAATATGGTTTTGGTGCTGAGCGGTACTTTAAATAGAGCATTCTGGAAGAAGTAATAAAGGTTATTTAGAAGTTTTTATTTCATGAACTTCTTTCACCTAATCAATTAGTAAAGTATCCGCCTAGAAAAATACCACAAATACACAGTCTTAGCAGAATTATTAAAATTATGGCACCAAAAAGGAAATATCCCCTGGAGTGAATCATTCAAGTGGAAGCACGTGGAAAAAAAGTTCTTGAACTTCTGCCACAGGAACCAAGAGGAGATATTTGATTCCAGCTCTCTTCCATGCTAGCTATCTTGGCCAAGCGTTGTTTCCTCACCTACAAAATAAGGAAGCTGGATTAGATGATCTCTTTCAAGTTTTAAGAGGTCAGAATTCTAAAACATCGTTTGGAAACATCTCCCTAAGTGGACGAACATAAATTATAAACCCTTCCAGCAGAGCCCCCTAGTGGTCCTAAGAGGAACCAACTGTACGTGTGGGTGATGGTACAATGAATCATTGCTATAATGTAATTCATGCAATGCTATGTGTATCTGTGTCAGTACATTGAAAATAATCATTTTATTTTATTTTATTTATTTGACAGACAGAGATCACAAGTAGGCAGAGAGACAGGCAGAGAGAGAGGAAGGGAAGCAGGCTCCTGGCCAAGCAGAGAGCCCCATGCGGGGCTTGATCCCAGGAACCTGGGATCATGACCTGAGCTGAACGCAGAGGCTTTAACCCACTGAGCCACCCAGGCGCCCGGAAAATAATCATTTTGAAGTGTGCAAAAACTGTTTTGAGTACTCTACATTTGTCAACTTCATTCCGTCCCCAATCTTAATCTTGGAACTTCAAAGAAACTTGCAACACTCAAATCACAGGGGGACTACTTAGAAGGGTATGGTTATTTTGGGGGGAGAGGGGCTTGGTCTTTTTTTTTTTCCCTTGAGAGAGAAAGAGAAAGCGGGAGAGGAGAAAAGAGAGAGGGAGAGAGAGAATCTTAAGCAGGCTCCCCACTTAAAATGGAGCCTGACACAGGGTTCCATCTCAAGACCCTGAGAATATGACCTGAACCCAAAATCTAGAGTTGGACATTTAACTGACTGAGCCACCAAGGCACCCCTGGTCATTTTTAAACACACATAATCATTGGTCCTGAAATTCTACTTCTAGGAAGTCATTCTACAGTCCTTCCAAAGAATGAGGCAACTACATATTAACTGATATGAGACAATTCCCAAAGTACATTTTAAGGGGCAAAAAGCAGTATGCTAAATGCAATGTGGTATCTTGGATTAGATCCTAGAATTGAAAGGACATAACTAATGAAATCCAAATAAATTCTGTAGTTTAGTTAATAGTACCATACCAATATGAATTTCTTAGTTTTGATATGGTATTATGGTTATGTAAGATGTTAACATTAGTAGAAGTGAGCAAAGAATATACAAGAATCTCTGAAACTTTTCTGTAAATCTACAATTACTTCAAAAGAAAAAGTTTACTTTTGAAAAGCACTATGCAGTCCATATTGTGTGTAGTGCACCACCATATGTGTGAGGGAAGAAAGGAATATGCTTATGTATGTAATACTTATGAATCCTCAAAATATCACTGGAAAAATGCATAAGAAACTGACAGTAGGGGTTAACTCTGAGAAAATAACTTAAATGCCTTGAAGAAGGCAAAATGGGAGAATTTTCACCATGTACCTTTTTGTATATTTTACCTATTCAAAACTAAATTTTTAAAAATGAGTTTCTAGTAATGTCAATTATAAGCTCTTCACTATTATGATCTAGTTCTGGTTGACTACTTCATTAAAAATTAATTAATTAAACAAATAATTACCCCTAGTATGTGCCAGGCATGATGTAGGTCCTAGAAGTGTGTCAGTGAAAAAGAAACAGAAAACTTCTGGAATTGCAGGATTCACATTCTGTCGGGATAGGGAGAATTCGTCTCAAAATATTGTCTACAGAAATGTAGGGGTCCCTGATATGTTTTCAGAGGTCAGTCTGCAATGACCAAATTATCATCATAATACAACTAAGACATTATTTGCCTTTTACTGTGTTGACATTTGCACTGATGACATAAAAGCAATAGTAAACAAAAACAATTACTGTGTTAGTAATAATCCTATTAATACCATGCACTCACTATTAAAAATACCAATTTTGGGGTGCCTGGGTGACTCAGTCCCTTAAGCATCTTACTCTTGGTTTCAGCTCAGGTCATGATCTTGTGAGTGGTGAGATTGAGCCCCATGTCAGTCTCTGAGATTCTTTCGCTCTGCCCCTCCCCCGCTAAAATAAATAAATAAAGCTTTAAAAAGAAAAAAAAATACCAGTTGCAGGGACACCTGGCTGGTTCAGTTGGTGGAGCATACAACTTGATTTCAGGGTCCTGAGTTGGAGCCCTGCATTAGATAAAGAGCTTACTTAAAAAAAAAAAAAAAAAAAAAAAAACAGTTTTAGTTTTTTTTTTTAAATGAAGACTTGCAATTTTACTTTTTTTATTTTTTTAACATTTTTATTAATTTTTTTAAGATTTTATTTATTCATTTGACAGAGATCACAAGTAGACAGAGAGGCAGGCAGAGAGAGAGGAATGGAAGCAGGCTCCCTGCCGAGCAGAGAGCCCAACATGGGGCTCGATCCCAGGACCCTGAGATCATGACCCGAGCCAAAGGCAGAGGCTTTAAACCCACTGAGCCACCCAGGTGCCCCCATTTTTATTAAATGTTAATGGACATGAGGGCCATGACCTGACCAGAAGGCAGATGCTTAACTGACTGAGCCATCTAGGCACCCCTTGTTTTTTTTTTTTTTTTAAGATTCTATTTTTAAGTAATCTCTACATCCAACATGGGGCTCCAACTTACAACCCTGACATCAAGAGTCGCATGTTCTGACTGAGCCAGCCAGGTGCTCCCTCCTTTTTTTTTTCTTTTTCTTTTTCCTTTCTTTTCTTTCTTTCTTTTATTATTATTATTTTTTTTTTTACCAGTTTCACTTTAGAATGTGTTTGATGAGCAGTGGAAATTGATTTTATTAAACTTCAATTTTTGAATACATGCCTTTTTAATATTGTGTGTCATTCTTGGGAAGGATAGAGAAAGCACTTCTACTGCATCCCAAAGCACATGGTTAAGCGCTTGCACAAGTGGTGAGTTGTGAGCTAAATTAGCAACTATTTCCATGGAACGCTATTTTTACTTAAAATAATGATTGAGACAAACTATGTTTCTCAAGGACTGGGTATTTGGCAGACATTTTATCACAAATGAACTAGGTGAGCCCATCACATCAAGGAAAACTACTGGCAGAATTTGTTGCCAATGAAAAAACTCAAACTTCCAACTGAAAATTAGAAATTTTTTTTTAAGATTTTATTTATTTATTTGACAGACAGAGATCACGGGTAGGCAGAGAGGCAGGCGGGTGGGGGGATGGGGAGCAGGCTCCCTGCTGAGCAGAGAGCCCTATGTCGGATTCAATTCCAGGACCCTGAGATCATGACCTGAGCCAAAGGCTGTGGCTTAACCCACTGGGCCACCCAGGTGCCCCCAAAATTAGACTTTTAGAAAATACATCTGCCCCTGTGACTCAACAGCTTTCCAAAACACTTAAAGACATTTTTACTAAATTGGTGGCGAAATTAATAAATGCGATTGCTTGAAATTTTACAGTGAAATGTGTTAACATTCGAAAGATCTGCATAAGCCAGTGAACTAGTATTTTCTAAATGACCAGTGCATGATGTTACAAAATCATGCCTGGGTATAATAATATCCATCCAAGGTTTGAGACAGATCAATGGATTTTAACATAACAGGGTACAAAATATTCACTGGTAACATTTCAGATTCCACATTGCAACTAACTTTGAGGATTGACCCCTTGTCTGGATTTAGTGCAGTACTGAAAAATAATAT